TTCCGATCTTTGGAGTGATCATCTACATTGACTGCTAAATTACTTATTAAAAACTCGTATTTATTATTATTTAATAAAGCATATTTAATATTTCTTAATGAGTTGATCAGACCCATATCTCATACACACTTAATAAAAATATATAAAAAATATACACACATAATTTGTTTTAAATTTATTTACTATTATAAGCTTATAAGATAAGATTTAATTATTATTTTTTTCACTATAGTTCCATTCATTTTAGTTCTTATAATTAAAAATAGTTTATTTTAATTTCTATACATATTCTTTTCTTAGTCTTATAATTTTATAAATTTTACATTTTAATTCATATAAAAATAAACAACATGAACTAAAAATAAACAAAAAATTATATGTACGAAAGCTAAAATGAAACATTTTCAATTATTGAGACTAAAAGATATTTCTTACTATTCTTATTATAAAACCTAAATAATTAATTTATCAAGACTGCGAATATATATATATATATTTTTTTATGTTTATAATAATTGTCTTAAGCTTCTTTTTATTTCCAAAACTACCTCTAAATTAGAAAGTATTTGATAATGAATAAGTTTTTTCATGTATAGGAATCATGATTTTTGGGAATTACAAATCCTGAAAAATCATGATTTATTATGAATCATGAGAATCATGATTTCTGAAAATAACTAAAATATTATTTAGTTATTCATAAAGTCTTCTGGAAATATTCATGTAGGATTCTCAGAAATTAATAATTTTTTACAAATATCATTTTTTAAAATAAAATTATTAGATATATTTATTTATTCAAAGCTTATAATAAATATGACATTAAACTATTTTTAAAAATTTAAAAACTTATAGTTAAAATTATTTAAATATAGAATTCATAAAAAAAAAACAATACTACATAACAACTAAGAAGGATAAAAATATATATTTTATTTTACTCAAATAAGTAAATTAATTAAAAAGTGTTAACAAATACCACTAGATTATAAAAATAAAATAAATTTTATTAATATTACTAAAATTGACAATGTCAAAAACAATGAAATGCAAGAGAGAGAAAGAGAAACTATATGACAGGGAGAGAGAGGAAGAGGGAGAGAGGAGGATGTTGGACCTCTTTTTTGGTAAAGATAGGAAAAATTACAAAGATGGTCGCAATGATGATGAACCTAAGTCCTCATACTTCTAAGTTCTAACTACCCCAACCCCTCCCCACCCAGCTACTAAGCTAATCCCTAGTGGACAGGATGTTGGATCTCTATGATGAATATAATAAAATATTCATTACTTGATTATTGTGCCTAAAAAGATGTATGAAAATTTAATTGTTTAATTGAAGAGAAATAGATGAAAAATAATATATATATATATATATATATATATATATATATATATATATATAGCGAGAGAGAGAAGAGAAGAGAGAAATAAATAAATATAATAGAGTAAAAAGGAAAGAAATAAAAAATAATTTTTTAAAATAATTTTTATTAATTATTTTTTTTTATTAAATAAAAAAATTATATTTTGAAATAATTAAATAACTAATTAAAAGTAAGAAAATATTTATAAAGTAATTTTTCAATTAAAAACTAATTAAAGTAACAAATTTAAATTAAACAAATAAATTTAAAGCATATAAACGTTTTTGAATATAATATAAAAAGTTTTGTATCAATTTAAAAAAATTGTATTCGAATAAAAGTTTTGTAATCGGATAAAGAAAATTGTAATTGAATTCTTAAACATTTTCATAAGAAAACGTAATCGAATAAAATTTTATTTATTCAAATAACATTTTTTTATATATAATTTTAAACCGCTAATATATGTTTATTATTTTGTGGTAGTTTTGAAAACGCTATTATTTTAAATAAGATTATGTATATACAGAATTAAAAGTTAAACACAAAAAATTGTGTCACAAAACACAAGAAAAAAGGACTTAATTTCGCGTGAAAATAAAAAGTGGTGAGATTACCTTTTAATTTTGCATTCCATTATTTCTCATGGATAAAATTTTTAACTTGTTTTCATTATTTTATTTTTACTCTTACCTTCTTATCACCCATTCACTTCAATCAAACAAAATTCGGTGAGGTAATGTGAATAGAGGGCTCAACTATTTTTTTTTATAATGAAAATATCTGCAATTAATAATTAAAATGATTTATTTATATTTTTCCATTAAAAAAATAATTTATTTAAAAATAAAATGATTAAAATATATTTTTGTCTCTGACGATGAACAAGTAACAAGATAAAAAAAATGTAGGAATTTAATATTTATTAATGTGGTTGGTATGGAAATGAAGGTAGATAAATGGAAAAGGCATCTGTGATCTGACATGAGCGAGTTCCAATGTCAAAGCATTTATATTAATATTTATGGTATGTACGGTGAAAAGTGTGCCACACCACACCATGTGCTTATGACTTTATGCATTATGCACCATGCACCATGCACCATGCACCATGCACCGACGCCGCCCCAATCCATTCATTTTTCTTTCTAATTTCATTCCTCCCAAAAATCACAAGTCAGACAAAATTCCCAAACACTTTTCTATTCTATTACTAACATCTTTTTCATCTACTATTACAAATTATAACCAGACACCTGTCAATTGTATTCCCAATAGTCAATGCTACAATTAGAAAGTAGTTTTTTCCCTTTCATTTTGTTTGACTCTACCTCTTATTTTTTAATATAAAAAACATGCGTATTTTAACTGCCATAATTATAAAAATATAAACCACTTGAAAACGTGTAGCTCTATTAATGACTAATTTTTTTTAATAATTTTTTTATTTATAGTAATAAGATCCGTGAAGAAAGTATAACAGCGTAAAAAACGAGTTAACACATAAAAAAATAAAAAATAAAAAATAAAAAATAAAAAATATCATATTGACTCTCTGTATTCTAAAAAATGATTGATTAATCAGTGAATAATTAATATTAATAATATTGTTAAAAAGTGAATTTCATTATTACTTATATAAAAAGAGAAAAAATGGTGAATGGCAAAGTTGGTGATTAATTGCGATGGAAGGGCATTTGTAAGAGATGAGATGAGATGACGTATATATAGTATATAGTGTATAGAAATGAATGAGTAGGAAATAGGAATGGCGAATCAATTGGGAAATCTTGTGGAATCCATAAAATCAAAGGTTGGGTTCCTGAAGAAGACAAAGAAGGCGTATCTGAAGATGGACAAGAGTGCGAGCGTGAAAGTGGAGATTCGCAGCAGAAAAGCTCGCAAACTTATTGACAAGACTTTGAAGGCTGCTGATACTCCCGCCAACCGCACCCTCTCCTAGTTTTACTTTTACTTACTTTCAATCTCAATTCTCAATTCTCAATTCTCAATTCTCAATTCTCAACCAACATGTGTATACTTTTTTAATCTTATGTGCATGCCTCTTTCTTTCCTTTTCTATTATTGTTAATTAAATTATGCGATTGTGATTGTTTAGGCGAAGAAAGAGTTAGCTTTTGGGAATTGGGAATTGGGAGAGACGTAGAATGTATTCGCGCTTCTTTACACCTTTTTTTATTCCACCGCCCAACTCTGTTCATGCACATCTCTTTCTTTCTTCAAATTCTTTTACTTTTTCACTTCTTCTTACCATCAATCATTCCTTTCAATTTTTACTCTTAAAAACTCTTTTTCACACAACATGTTCACTTTGTGAAAAAATACTATTCATTGCCGCTACGCTTGCCACGAGGGTAAGAGGAGAATAATAGAGAAATATATAAGATGAATTTTGGGGATGTTTGGTGGGACTAAAATACAAATGGGTATGGGTATGGGGTTCTTTTAATTAAAATATTTTTTTAGACTCTATTTTAAAATATATATATATATATATATATTTCATTTTTATATTTATCTTTTTTAGTCATCTTTAGTATCTATAGTTAAAGATCTATGGCTTAAGATAATTTTTTAAATTTTTATACTTACAAAATTTAGATTTTTTTTAGTCTCTTATTATTAATTTTAAATGTTATATTTTTTTTTGGGTTAATTTATAGTTAAAGATCTATGGTTTAAGATAATTTTTTTAAATTTTTATACTTATAATTTTTTTTAAAAATCTTTTGTCATTAATTTTTTTAATATATCTTTTGTTTTAATGTAACAAAAATATCGTTTTCTTCTTATTGAATTAGTTTATTTTGCTGTCACATGGGGTGTTATTATGCATGTTTTTGGGATTTAAATAACCTATTATAATATAGTAAGAAACTAAGAATGCGCTCTTTGTGCTTGACTTTTTTTATTTGGATTGGTGGAGTTGTTGGGTGTGTTTGATTTGATATTAAAAACGTATAACCATCCATTCAATTCAAAATAACACCTTCGTTGTTTCTCAATTCTTACATTAAAAAATGAGAAATCACAGTTGTTTAAAAAAATGCGTACCTAAACATGCTAGTTATTGTCCGTTGGTTGTTTTAGAATTTTGATTATTGTATTTTTTATAATAGATTAAAGTACTTATATTCTCTATAATTAACTTTTTTTCCTATCAAATAAAATATAATAAAAATGTTAATTCAATTTTGTGCCTTGATATCAAATTTATTTAAATTAAATTTATTATTGTATCATTATTTAAAATAATTATTATTGAGATACCATTTATTTATTCTCGTAAAATTAAACATTTCTACCTCAATATAAAAGAAAGAGTTAAAGAAAAATAATAAGAATAAGAACTAAAATATTGTAAAACTATAAATATAGAGATTAAAAAATCTATCTTAAATTATAAAGATTAAATAAAATTATAAAAATTTAAAAATAAATTTATAGGAAGTATATTTTTTAATCATAGACGTTTCCGGAAAAGTTTTTTAATAATTGATTTTTATATGTAAAAGTTAATTGTTGTTTTTAAAAATTAAATATAGACGTTTCTGGAATTTTGTTTGGCAGTTTTTAACAAATAAAATAAAATTGTCCTAAAATATTAAGAAGTGACATTTCTGTAGTGCTGTTTCTGCAGCTAAAAAGGAAAAAGATAAGATTGCAAAGAAGACATTGAATTGAGTGGTTGACGAAACAATGTAGAGTTTGTGTTTTGAGGGAAATGCGTGAATTAGTGAATGAGCCAGAAAATAAATGAAGAAACGAGAAGGGGCGTGGAGAAGGGGATGGACTAGGGAGGTTCCGTTGGGCATCCTTCCTCCAACATCTACAAGTACCGTTCTTTAGGGCGTGGATGATAAATAAACTTATATTTATAAGTAATATTTGAATTTATTCCGATTTTAATAAAAAATATCTAAATATTTGATTTAATTATATTTTTTATTTATTTTGTGAGAAAATTAAACAGAGTGAAAAAAACAAAAAAGTAAGGAAAAATTACATAGGGGAATAGGTGTCCTCCCCTACTACTTGTAAAATAAAATCTGGAGGACTCCTCCGTTATATTAATCAGCGAGTTTTTTGCTCCTCAACTAGCCAAAGCGTGAGCTACTGAGTTAATCTCCCGAGGGATGTTGACGATCTTAACGCTCCAATCCCTAGCCACTAAGTCCTTAACTGCACCAATGATGTCACTATGCTTGTGAATGTTATCTCTATCAAGGGTGGGTCCCTGTACTGCTTTCACCGCCCCTATGCAGTCTGATTCACAGATTATATACCGAAATCCTGCATTCCAACAAAGAGACAGTCCTTCCGCTAATGCAAGGATCTCTGCTCTGAGAGAATCACCATCTTCAAAAGAACGAGCAAATCCTCCCTTCCAACGTCCAACCGCATCTCGCACTACACCTCCTACTCCCATGATCCTCGATTGACCAAGCCAGCTACCATCCACATTCACTTTAATCCAAGGATATTTAGGAAGGGACCACTTTACATTCTCTTTCCATAACTCATGCTTCTCTAGATATATGTTGTTTTGTGCAATAGATAAAACAATCATTCGTGTCACATACTACCACCACCCTCCAAACTCTCAACAGTCTTTGCCTTCTTCCGATCTTTGGAGTGATCATCTACATTGACTGCTAAATTACTTATTAAAAACTCGTATTTATTATTATTTAATAAAGCATATTTAATATTTCTTAATGAGTTGATCAGACCCATATCTCATACACACTTAATAAAAATATATAAAAAATATACACACATAATTTGTTTTAAATTTATTTACTATTATAAGCTTATAAGATAAGATTTAATTATTATTTTTTTCACTATAGTTCCATTCATTTTAGTTCTTATAATTAAAAATAGTTTATTTTAATTTCTATACATATTCTTTTCTTAGTCTTATAATTTTATAAATTTTACATTTTAATTCATATAAAAATAAACAACATGAACTAAAAATAAACAAAAAATTATATGTACGAAAGCTAAAATGAAACATTTTCAATTATTGAGACTAAAAGATATTTCTTACTATTCTTATTATAAAACCTAAATAATTAATTTATCAAGACTGCGAATATATATATATATATTTTTTTATGTTTATAATAATTGTCTTAAGCTTCTTTTTATTTCCAAAACTACCTCTAAATTAGAAAGTATTTGATAATGAATAAGTTTTTTCATGTATAGGAATCATGATTTTTGGGAATTACAAATCCTGAAAAATCATGATTTATTATGAATCATGAGAATCATGATTTCTGAAAATAACTAAAATATTATTTAGTTATTCATAAAGTCTTCTGGAAATATTCATGTAGGATTCTCAGAAATTAATAATTTTTTACAAATATCATTTTTTAAAATAAAATTATTAGATATATTTATTTATTCAAAGCTTATAATAAATATGACATTAAACTATTTTTAAAAATTTAAAAACTTATAGTTAAAATTATTTAAATATAGAATTCATAAAAAAAAAACAATACTACATAACAACTAAGAAGGATAAAAATATATATTTTATTTTACTCAAATAAGTAAATTAATTAAAAAGTGTTAACAAATACCACTAGATTATAAAAATAAAATAAATTTTATTAATATTACTAAAATTGACAATGTCAAAAACAATGAAATGCAAGAGAGAGAAAGAGAAACTATATGACAGGGAGAGAGAGGAAGAGGGAGAGAGGAGGATGTTGGACCTCTTTTTTGGTAAAGATAGGAAAAATTACAAAGATGGTCGCAATGATGATGAACCTAAGTCCTCATACTTCTAAGTTCTAACTACCCCAACCCCTCCCCACCCAGCTACTAAGCTAATCCCTAGTGGACAGGATGTTGGATCTCTATGATGAATATAATAAAATATTCATTACTTGATTATTGTGCCTAAAAAGATGTATGAAAATTTAATTGTTTAATTGAAGAGAAATAGATGAAAAATAATATATATATATATATATATATAT